CGGGGAGGACCAAGGCGGAGGGGATTGGGATTTAGGGGAGACTGAGGGGAAGGAGATGGGCAAAGTGGTCAGGGAAGATTTAAGGGGGCTGGGGAAGGAGATGGCAGGATCAAGGGAAGACTGGGGATTAACGGGGGGAAGGGGATGGGGAGGATCCAGGGGAGATTGGAGGGGAACCCGGGGAGGGGAGGAATCCAGGGGAGACTGGGGGGATATTCAGGAAAGGAAGGATGGGGTAAGGAGATGGTGGGATTTAGGGAAGACTGGGGGAAACAGGGGAAGGGGATGGTGGAATTGAGGGAAGATTGAGGTGGAGAAATTGGGGGGAATCCAGAGGAAGTGGGCAGTGCTGAGGGAAAGGAGAAGGGGGAGATTTAGGGAGGGCTGGGGGGAAGGGGGTTGTGTGGGATCCAGAGGAGATGAGCAATACACGGGGCGGGGGGCGGCCCTGGTGAAAAAGGGGTGTGGGGGATCCAGGGGATGAATGAAAAGAAGGGGTGGTGGGGGAGGGAGCTGTGGGGGATCCAGGCAAGATGGGAGAACAGTGGGGAGGGGGGGGGAAGGCAGGCGGGAGGGTAAGAAGGGGACCCAGGGAGATGGGTCCGGACGTGGCGGATGGGGGAAGGAGTTGTGCGGGATTCCGGGAGGTGGGGTAGGAGATGATGGGGGCTGAGGGGGAAGGAGGTGTGGGGATGCAGTGGGATAAGGGCAAGATGTGGGGCGCATCCGGGGAGAGGGGGGCTGGAGAAGGGGTCCTTGGCATTGGCAGTAGACAGGGATTACGTGGGAAGTGCTGGAGAAGAGGGTGTGATGAGCAGGGGCTTGAGCCACGACACTTTCCTGCTGTATGGAGGGCAAGACTGCTCTAGCTGCAGATCTACCCAGTAAAACACTCCCTGGGAGTCCACTCGCTTACATCTCTGCACTGTACGTTGGAAATAGCGTCAGAAGACGAGATTCGGGAAATAATGATGGCCTTGGCCAGCTCAGCCCCGCAGGGCTGAGGTGCCTGGCCTCTGCTCTGCTGATGACTTGTTTTGTGAGTGTGGCCCAGAAATTGTCCCCTTCTGTCTCGGTTTCTCCATCAGTAAAGCGGATTCATAGCGGAGTTCCAGCAGCGACAACGTGGTTGCGAAGATGAGCAAAATGACGAAGGCAAGAGATGGATTTTATGTCAGGGTCCATTTTCTTTTTGCCTTGCTGACTTGCTCGGTGACATTGAGCATGTCCTTTCATCTCGTGGAACCTCACTGCCCTCCTCTAAAACAGGGCAAGGCTTCCCTCCCTCCAAGAAACCTGGCAAGATCCTTGCCCAAAAGCCCAAAGCAGTAATAGCGGCTTTGAGCGGTAGTTACTAGGATTTGTTTGTTTCCGTGATGCGCTTCGTACAAGCACGTTCCCTCCACTTTGAAGTTATATTAGGTGCGTTTCTTTTTCTTATTGCAAGGTCAGTGATAAACCACAATGGCTTGGATTACCGGAGGTGTGGGCTGCGTTGTCGTGCTGGAGGCGCCTCCAGGGCTGCGGAGCTCTGTATCTGCTGTTGCATTGAGATGCCCCATTTGATCTTAGAGCTGGCTTCCCACATCTGCTGGTGGTTGAGCTAGCGCAGCGTAACGTCTTGCCCACTGCCGCCTGCGGTGGGGTGGGCACGATCGGAGAGGACGCGTGTGCTCCTGCTTGCGAAATAGAACGCGTTTTGTTTAAACCGCCTTCGTCGTGGGTTACGATGTGTTTTACTTTGTGGTCACAGTGGACCAGGAATGCGTGTGCTTCTTAGCTCACCGGAGGAGCGGCACCTCGCTACGCCGCTGGAGCTCACAAGTGAACGTCCCTTGAGCAGGCATGGGATTGATCATCAAGGCAAGGAAGCGGTTGTTTTCTGTTTAAATTTTCATGGCAGAGTAAGGTGTGCGGTTGCTTTATAGCATTTTTAGAGCAGAAAAAGAAAACCACACTCTTGTAGAGATGGCTCTTCTTTTAGCTGGAAGTAAGTATTGTGATTTTAGTACAGGATTTATAATATCTGCAGTGGCCGCGGATTTTCTTACTACGTAGCTGATAGCTCTTAGCAAGCTCTCTACCGTAACAGTCTCTTGTTGATTCTTCTCTGTTTCAGCCTGAAGTTCAGTTAGATGAAGCGGTAACTTCCCGCCCTCTGAGCAGCATGTTGTACTTTGTGTGATGGCTGACTGTCCCTGGAAACTTTTGGCCATCGGATTAAACAGTGCCTTTGAATCACAGATGTTTGAATGTCACGGTCCCAGCCGTAAACTGTGCTCGCGTGGGATCAGCTTTGCGTCTGCTTGTGAGAGCAGTGGGAGTTGAGCTCGGGTCTCCGTGGTCCTTGGCAAGTGTGTTGGCCAGTGGAGTGTCCTCTTGGAGATGAGGTTGCCCGTCGCTGTTCGTAGGATGCTCTTTGATCTTTTCCATTTAAGTCTTCCTGGAGCGATAATCCCCAAGTTTCACCTCAGAATGTGGCAGCTGGATTATCCTGGGTGCTGTTTTACAACGTATGTTTTAGCGTAGGGTGACGGGATTTATTTTACGGATTTCTTTTCCGGATTCTGGGGAACCGTTAGCTCATGGGCTTTGCGTTACTATTCTTGTCTGCCAGCCTTGTTCTGGGCAGTATTATTTGTGTACTGACACATGCCAGAATACAAATGAATGGCTGCAGTTCTTTTGCCTGAGAAATGTCTTGCTTCTCAGAGGCTGTGGCTCGCAGTGATGTATTAAATAAAGACAGAGAGGACAAATAATTCTCGCTGCCATCTTGCCCCATCCCAGAATGTTAATGGCACAGAAGGAAAGGGATAGATCGGTGTCTGCGTGGCTGAAGAGGACTTTGCGTTGGACCATTTCCACCCTGCTTGGCATGATGTGCTGTGCTTCGTTCTTTTAATAGACTGGCATCTGATTTGCCTCCTCTGTGGTTCTGATGTGCTGTCTGAAAGCAACGTTTAAACCCAGCAGGTATAAAAATGGGTACTGGGACGAAATTGGGCCTCTTAACTGCTAAGTAAAATTCAGCCCATGGTCTCAAGCCACCCAAGGCACAAACGCTAAATTGGATTTTAATCCGTGCATGGTCTATAGCGCCCGTGTTGACGTTTCCTAACGTTTTTGAAGTGAGGCTGGCCCCTGTACCTTTTTGTCCTCACCGTGTCCCCTTTCCTCACCACTGCGGACGTAGGATCCTTGCAGGTCATCACTGACCGTCGCAGATTCTTCTTTACTCCTGCCTCTGCCTCCTCCAGCACCACCATCGAGCTCCTGCTGATCAGAAGACCTGTTAGCGTGGGGTCTGCTTTCTGCCTTACGGCTCAGCAACCCGCATCCTAAAAGATAAACCTTGCTGCTTTCAAGTCACCAACTCTCTGTTTCTTTATGAACCCATAAAAAGTAGCTGAAGCAACCAGTGTCTTCATGTGCCCGTCCCTGACTGTCGTAGGAAGGAGGGTTGTACGGGAGATGCCCTCCGGGATTCTTCCCACCCTGCGGGAAGCTGAAATACCCTCCGATGTCCCTGCTCAGATAGTCTCTGGAAGGAAACTTTTCCGTACTTCACATTTGGCAGGCATTTGAGTCCTGGTGCATGTGAGTAGGCTTTCCTTAACTGCTTGATCACATTTCTTACCCACTGATCCTGCTGGCAGCCAAATAGCTGTCTGCTTGCTTGCGACTTGGAAAGCGGGTTCTGGCAACTGCTTTTTGAGTAATTCCTGTCTTTTCATGGGTGTCATGCTGCACAGTATCAAGATGTGTTTCTGTCACTGCTGAACTCAGGAGGATTCTTAGATAAGGTTTCGTGACCCTTTTTTTTTTTTTTAGGTATAAAAAAAATAGAGGCTTGTTTGGCCTGTGAGCTGCTGAGCAGTGAGAACCTGGACCATGTGCCCATAAAGGAATCTGAATTGAAGAAGGAGTCAGTGTTGAGCCGTACAGTACAAATTAACTTGCACGTGAGGATTTGGGCGCACGGGTTCACGCTGCACGTGTGACTTCCCACCCTAAGGGCTGACCGCGTCCTTGGATCGAGGTGTCGGCTGCTTGTAGTCACTGGGAAATCATTTCCCACCTTGAGGTGTCAGGGACATGTAAGCCTCTGTCAGACACGCAGCAGCTGCCGATTCGCTGCACAGTGAACGCGTTTTTACAGCTATTTTGAAGATGCAGAGACTGCCTATTTTGGGAATAGAAGATCGTAGATTTCCTATACTTCTCTCTGGGAATCAAATGAAAAAGCAGTTCCCCTTTCTTCTGGTCACCCTTCTGCATAGGAAACAAATCAGTTCCCTGTGAGCCACGCTGTTTCTTCCCTGCTGGGAGTCTTTGAGCGATACAGTGACAGGACGTTAATCACAGGTTGCAGTAAGGATATGTTTATTACCTGCTGCTTTGTGGAGATCTATTTTGGGGAAACTAAACGTGTATGTGGGGCTTGTTGTTGTTTTTTTTTTTTTTCTCTCCCCTGCTCACCAGTGTGCTGTGAGCTTGGATGAACGCTTCATACTTATTGCCTTTTACCTATAAACTAAAAAGCATTTTACTCGCTTGCCTTACTTGCTGTTGAGGGTTGTTAGAGTTTGCAAAGGACCTTCAGGCCATGTGAGAAAGACGCTAGTGAGCAGAAGTGGCTGTGGATATCAAGGTTAGCAGCAGACTTTTGTGCGTCTCTTGCTCTATTCTTGGTTTTCTTCCTGATTAGCGAGGAAGAAGTTGGTTCATCTCTGCGGTGTTTTGATCTCCCAAGCCATTGTGTAAGACAGTCCTGTTCCCTAGACCTCTCTTCTTCTGTCAGGTTCTGTGGTTTACTGACAACAAATCAGATTTCCAGTTATCCTTGGGTGAAAGGCTTCCCGTGACATAGCATGAAATGGGACCTTTTGCTTGTTGAGCTCCTCAATGTTCTGTTTTTTTCAGGTTCCTTTTGGTGTGGTGGGTTTGTGAAAGGAGATTTGCCTTGCTAGTAAGGGGCTGGTATATGAAACCGTCAGTTACTTTACAGTAATATCTGTAGTTTTCAAGGAAGTGGTGGTGGTTTCAGCGTACCTCCTTAGCATACGGTTTTGCATGCTCTCGCTTGCAAGTGCCGTGCGAGTGCCCTGTATTCAATCGGGCACCCATTTGTGCCCGAAAAGAAGGCTCAGTCCCTGCGTCGTGCTGCGAGCGTGGTGAGGGAGTTTGCATTCTGCAGATGATGGAGATGTTGGGGAGGGGGAGCAGGCTGGTAGCAGCATCTTACTGTTCTGCTTTGCAGAAGTTTGCTCTGATCAGGTCTGTCTCATTCTGTATTTACAATGCATCTTGCTTGTCTTCAGCTTCTTGTTCAAACAACTCTGCGTGTGTGGCAGGCTCGGCAGTAGGAGCAGCAAAGGTATTAGAGCAAACGAGGAATGGCAGGTAGGTAGATGTGAAGTTGAGGGGGAGAGCAACTACCTGTGGAGTTGGATAGCTAATGGCTGGGGATGGCTTGGAGGACGTATTTCTTAAAGACGAACATGTAGAGTCAACAGCTGGGAAAAGTGAATTTCAGGAGTCAGTTTATTGACCTCAAATACAGGCAAAGAGGTTTAGAGATGATCTCTCTTGCTAGGAAGGGTTTAACATGGCTGGTCAATATTTTTTTTTTTTTTTTTTGCTTTATCGAACTGTCCGTGAGATATTGATGAGGGTACTTTCTGTCAGCACCCATGCTTCTGTAACTCCCTGGTTTTATTTCTCTGGAATCGTAGTCTGATTTGTTCACGGCTACAAACTTTTGAGTGCTTGAGATTTTACGCGCGGTGTGGCATTCCTCCTGCAGGAGGAGAGTCTTGGGCAGTGATTCACAGAAGTATTTTTTTGCATGACTCAGATGTTTGGAGGTTGCTTGGTCTGCCTTTTAGCTGGCTTTCAGGGGAAAAATCTCGTAACAAATTTTACGTTTTAGGCTGGTTTTGAATCTGTCTGTTACCTATCACTGAGAGATCTTTAAGGGCTTTAATCAATGAATCACTGTAACGAAGATCAGGAAGTTTTGGTAAATGAGAATGACGTGAGTTGCCTTCTTTCATAAACAAGTTGGTAAGGAAACAGGAATTGGTGGTGACTCTGACCCTATCAAAACAGTAATTGTTAGAAATCAATCCATTTTCTAATCATCGAGTTTAAGACGTTTAAATTAATCGGAGTGTATGTGTAGCGTGATTCAAGTGCTGAGGTTAAAAGTTGCTAAGGTGTCCAAAGACATTTCTGACTTTGCTACTGTAGCAATAATTGACATTTTTGACCAGGCAGGCAGTGATAACTGGTGATTAAACAGCTGATTCACAGCAAAATCATTACAGTGTACGTAACTCTGCTTTTTTTCTTCTTTCCATAAGCTTTTTAAAATAGAGTGCAGAAAGGAAATCCATTAATATTGTGTGGTGGTATAACGCGGCTTGCTAATAATGGAATTAAGTAGGCTAGCATGGTTCTGTGTAGGCATCCCAGGTCTCATGAAACAATCCCAGATGACCTGCTATTCTGAAACTCTTCTTTCTGTGTTGCCTTGCAGAGCAGTGGTAGAGGCCGTTCATCGATTGGATCTCATCCTCGGTAATAAGGCCGCGTATCAAGAAGTGTTCAAGCCAGAGAACATCAGCTTGAGGAACAAGTAAGTTGGGCAGGGCACTTGTTTTTTTTTTATATTTGGCTGGGAAAAATCCATGCAAAGCAACACGTGGAGGTTTTGAATCTGCAGTTTTACAGATTATTCGGTTTGTAGTGCACCTGTTGACCTGCGATCCCTCCAGGTTTTTGAAGCAGAGGCTAGATTTCAGCTCTGTATTTGAACAGCACCTAACCATACAGTCCGTGGCTGGAGGCTTTCCTGGGTGTCGTTGTAATACAAATAAATCGTCTTCGTGTTGGCCAGTGCCTTCCCTGTAATTATCTTTAAAAAAACTGGTGAAGAAACTTCTTAGATGTGTGTGAAATCTTTTATCAGGGTCAGAGGGTGCCTAGCAGGGATGATTTTTCTTACTATTTTTTTAAGCTGTCAAGACAGTTCTTGACATTACTGCAATTTAGGGAGTTACCGATGGCCAGCTCAGCCAAGATAACTGCTCAGGGGTATGGCTTTTCCAGATGCTCTTGTGTGGGAGTGATACAAGCTGTACCATCACCAGATGGCCTAGCTCATCCATCGTAATGAATTCAGATTTTCCTTTTCCATGCTTATGTAGTGGCAGCTGTATTTGAAGCTGCTGTAGCTCAATGTGAGTTCTTTGCTGTCTGTCTCAGGCTGCGGGAGCTGTGTGTGAAGCTGATGTTCTTGCATCCAGTGGATTATGGAAGAAAAGCAGAAGAACTGCTCTGGAGAAAAGTTTACTATGAAGTTATCCAGCTCATTAAAACAAATAAAAAGGCAGGTATCTACGGCTCTGGCATGAGAAAGTCTCTGGCTGTGCAATGGGTGAGACCAAGTTAAAAGCTTTATTTGCTTGGAGAAGTTGTGGTCTGAACACAGGGCAGGAAGGCAGGCACTCCTGAATTGTAATCGGGGAGCTGACACGCGCTTTTTGTCTAGCTGTGGGCAGGTAAGCTTTAACGAGCTGCTGAGAGAGCTGCCATTGCAGGGGGTATTTCAACATAATTTGCCTAATTTTTGTCTTCCCATCTTCAGAAGGCATACATCTCCACGTAGAACGTTGGTCTTAAGAGGCTTTGTCAGTGCCGATTGTTTTTACTAGAGCTGACCACTGGAAAACACTCACAGTATTCACACTATTTTCTAATGCCATGAACTTTCCTGGTGATCTGGTTGTCCGAATATATTGAAGGTGCTCTAACGAGACACCTTGGTTTTATTTAGTTGTTGTTGCAGCAAGTATTTCTCCTTCTTGATGTTGACCGTTAGTAAATACCACTTTTAGTGGACCGTTTTAGGACTGATAGTAAATTCAACATTTTTGAGCAAGAGGAGGTGCAGAACTGTGCAAAACCAATTACAGCTGAGCTACCTGCTATCTTGCTTCCTACCTGGTAAAACTCGGGTGGCCAGCCTAGAATGTTACCCGGCCTGCATTAACATATTCTCATTTTTCTTCCCTCCAGCACATTCACAGCCGTAGCACTCTGGAGTGCGCGTACCGGACTCACTTGGTTGCTGGCATAGGATTTTACCAGCACCTTCTCCTCTACATTCAGTCTCACTATCAGCTGGAGCTGCAGTGCTGTATTGACTGGACGCACGTCACGGACCCTCTCATAGGTGAGTGCTCAGGGTGTTGGACTCGTGCGTAAGGCCTGAATCCCAGACAGGTGGCTTCTCCTTGCGCTAGTCCATCTTTGTTTCAGCATTCAAGAGATTATCTTTTAATTTTATTTTTCTGATTACCTCGTTATCTGTTTAGAACCGACTGTCTGTCCTCCTCTCTTTTCCATGGCGTTGTTCTGTTGTTTTTTTAAATACTAAACTAAGGAAGAAAGAAGGGTTTCTAACAGGAAGAAAACGCTGTTGGAAAATTCTTTAGGAAGTGTTTGGTGATGGCAGATTTTTCTGGAAAATTGAGCACTTCTGGCTGTACAGAATGTTTTTAAAAGCTTAATTAAAGCAGACAAATGGGCCACTGGGGGAACAGGTTCTTGAAATCAACAGGTTTTTGTCAGGACATCCTGTTCGCTAGGTGTAAGATATTGCTTCTCCTCTTGTCTCTGCTCCCTTCACGTACTCCCTAGTTGTGCTGCGTGTAGCTTCGAAACTGCTGTTGAATCTTGGACCGAGAACAGGAGGAAGCTCCTGTAACACAGTGAGGTATGTTAGCTGGCTCAGTAACCGCCTCTGTGCACGCCCTTAGATGCAGGGCAATTCGAAGTATCTTACCTATTAGGGGAGGAAGAATAAGAGCGTTTACGGGCTTGAACCAGCTCAAGGCTGCATATGCGTTCACATCCTCGATTACCTTGTAATGGTTTGTTGACATTTGCTCCTGGGTTGTGCACAGTGGCCTCACGGCCCGTGTTTCTGTTTGGGTGAGTCCAGGTGGGAAACAGAGCCTCTGTATCTTTTGTCAACTGCATTAGCAAGGGTTTAATTGACATTCTTAAAGCTGGCAGGGGGGAGGACGGCAGAAACGGGGATAAGAGAAGTTAGTATGTCTTTAGCAATAGAATGTTTTAGTTGCTGGTATCCTATTCTTAGTTCTGGGAGATGATTGTATCATGATCGGCTTTGAAATGTCGGTTTTAAAAGGCAGATGTCCCTGGCAACTGTTGCTTTGAGAAATGTATCTCAGTGCTGCAGAATTAATAAATTCTCGAAATGCGCATTCCAGATGGGTTTGTACCCTGCGGTGCGTGATTGCATTTGAAAGGCTCCCCTTATTCAGGGTTCTTAATGTGTTTAAGCTCTTTAATTAAAAGGCTGCAGCAGATGAGTATATAACTGGATAATAGAGATGTAACCTTGCATATCTGCAAGAGATGGATATATAAGAATGCCATATGAGCTACAAATTAGGATGGACCCAACTTGATGGTTATATAAATAGGAGCAAAAGGATTCAAAGCAGAAAAGAAAGGGAGGATAGGTCCAATAGCATATGTGGACGCAGATTTGATGGCCACGTATTTGCATAATGCCACTCATACAATGCCCGTTAGTAAGCGGGAACCATTCCTCGCTGGTCACTTAAGCTTCCACATTTCCACTCTCTGAAATTAAGCCAAGAGGGAAGCAACTCAGACTGCAGGCTGGACCGGGCTTAAAAATCTTCCTTTGGGATTCCTGCTTGAGGGAATTTTCTCCTCCAGAAGGTGGAAGACCTTGGCAACAGGAAGACTGAACCTAGACTGAATCCACGATACTGGTCTGCCCGGTAGCAGTGAATGCTCTCTGGAGAGGAAGCCTGAACGCGGTAGCCTTTGCCTGCTGATCCCTGGCTGAACCATGGCCCCGCTGGCTGGGGAGGAGGTGCTGATAGGGAGATGGGAAGCACGGGCTTGCCAGCAGCAGCCCCTCCTAGGAACTGAGTCATGTTTGATGGCTTATGTTAGTTCAGATCAGCTGGCTGGAGCTTTCCCCTGTTGCTTTCGACACTTCCCACTGCCTGAACTGCTTTTTTTTTGTTTAAGTTCAGTACAGGATAGAATAGAATAGACTGTTTCAGGTGGAAGGGACCTACAACGATCATCTAGTCCAACTGCCTGACCAATTCAGGGCTGACCAAAGTTAAAGCCTGTTATTAAGGGCATTGTCCAAATGCCTCTTAAACGCTGACAGGCTTGGGGCATCGACTGCCTCTCCAGGAAGCCTGCTCCAGTGTTTGATCACCTTCTCGGTAAAGAAATGCTTCCTAACGTCCAGTCTAAACCTCTCTTGACGCAGCTTTGAACCGTTCCCCCGCGCCCTATCGCTGGATACCAGGGAGAAGAGCTCAGCACCTCCCGCTCCACCTCCCTTCCTCGGGAAGCTGTAGAGAGCGATGAGGTCGCCCCTCAGCCTCCTTTTCTTCAAACGAGACAAGCCCAAAGTCCTTAGCTGCTCCTCGGAGGACATTCCTTCCAGCCCTTTCACCACCTTTGTTGCCCTTCTCTGGACGCAATGGCAGTTTTGTCCAGAGGCCGTTCTTCCTAACTGACTGCAGCTGCCCTGGCTACAACACAGATTTGCTGTGCTGATTTTTCCTTGTTTTACTTCTCTTCCTCCCATTTTGGTTGGCCAATCCCAAACCTAGGTCTCAGTCTTGAGACAATGAGTTTGTTTCCATCTTCAGTGTCGGGGAGGGTACGTCCACATCGCGTGCTGCTGCCAGGTGCAAGTGTGCTCAGACTTTGTTCTGGCTTCCAGGGATTTGCGCCGGCTCCTATCCAAAGGCCTCGTTAGCCGTGCTAACAAAACCAGCCTCTCAACAGGCCTTATTAGCTTGTGCTCAATGCTATGTTAACACGATCACATGGCTTGTAGACAGGAATTGGCCTTTGTCCTCTCATCTGAGTGCAAACGGAGCCAGCTCTCTGTGGCATACCTTGTAGGCAAAGTCTGAGTGACAGTCGTTTCGGTGACTGTTCGTGATGCAGTGACACGCGCTGCCCCTAATCAGCAGGGAGTTGAAGGGGGAGTGGGTGAGCATCGGTGTCTACATGTATTTTCTACATTTATTTTCCACATTTTGACAACAAGAGTGAACGGGTGCTGGGCTATAAGATGCCACAGATGGCAGCCAAGAGTGTGGTCTGACCATGTGGTCTTTGTTTTCATCCGGTGAAATGTTGGGTGTCTCAGGCAGAGGCGTAGGCTGCTCATGTGTCTTTCCAGCCGCCTTTACCCAATGGTGTATGTGATTTCTTATTTCTCATGTAGGCTGCAAGAAACCCGTGTCTGCATCGGAGAAGGAGATGGAGTGGGCACAGATGGCATGTCACAGATGTCTGGTTTATCTGGGAGATCTAGGTAAGAACGGCATCGTCTTTCAGGGCAACCTTTAATACATTAAAAAGCCGGTGCCTGCACAGTGCCGAGTCCGTCGTTAGTCACCAGCCGTAGTTACTCGCAGACGCTGGTTTCCCTCGGACGCATTTCCCGATGACTGGTATAAGCTGAAATCCTCGTGGATAACTGAGCCGCTGCAAATTGCAGAAGCTTTGTTTCTGGGCAAGTAGCTGAGGAGTTTGCTATTGATAAACAGTTGTATCCGTGGCTGTGTAAGAATGGAAGCCTTTGCTTTTGTTTGTGGTGTTCGGACAGCGTGAAGGAATCTCAAAGTGGGCTGACTTCTCAGCTCAGACTTGCTTTAAGGTTGCCTTATGGAGCCACTGTCCTCGGCGCAAGTGTGACTGAAAATCAGATTTATTAAGCAAAATTGTGAATCAGTCCAGAGTGGTAGGCCACTGCAAAGCCCCAGGTTCTTTGTGATTGCGCCTGGCTGCGTGTCATCCTTTTTATAGCAGACGCGTCTATCCCACAGTCACGACCTCCTGAGTGTGTGGTAAGTGTGTCAGCTTCTTGCTTGATTGTGAACATGTGGGAGTGAAGGCAGTGAGAAAACATGTAACTGTGTGAAAAACAGCTATTTGAAGTGTGTCGCGGATAAATGTGCTTGACACGCAGCAGCCTTCAAGCTCCTGAAAGCCGTTTGGCATTATCATCGTGCGTGAATCAGCCTAAAAACGGCGTTACAAATAAATGTCTTACGGGGGTAGTAAGAATGACTTACCTGACTGGTGGTGGGAGAGAAATGTGCTCACCTCTTCACAATGCTTTCACCTAAGGTTTCCAAAATGCCTACTGTTGTCCAAGAGAGAAAAAAAAAAAAAAAAAAAGAATAAAGTCCAGTCTATCCGCAGCCAGGTATTTTTATTAGGTCAACTGACTTGCTTCAGCTTTCGCACTCTGCTGTAGTAGAATATAGTCTGTTTGAGGTACTGGAAAATGGAGCACAACTCTGAGTTATTTCAAGGATAAATGAATCAGCACTTAACACATGGAGCAGAAGAATTTCTTCCTTTTGCTTACGTGCTGCCACAAGTGTGGAGGGATATCCCCTTTGCTTGAAACGGCAGGGGTTGTGATGTGCGGAATAGTGCAGTTAAAATAAAAATGCTTCAGATGGGCCTGGCACGCCCTGTACGTTTCTGTATTTTGCCAAGAGCAGTTCTTTGATGGATTTGTTGACTTGGCCAGTATTTCTAGTTTTGTGGTGTTTTTAATCTGTAGGGAAGCTGTGCTTCTCTGCAGAAGGGAAGAGAAGACGCTGTCTTCTGGGTTCTGATGTGTGGTGTGTGGTTTTCTTTCAGCTCGCTATCAGAATGAACTGTCAGGTGTGGACACAGAGTTGCTGGCTGAGCGGTTTTACTATCAAGCCCTTTCTGTTGCACCACAAATTGGTGAGTGAGTTACCATGAATTTTTAGTCATTAAAATCATGTTGCCGCAACCTAAAAACAATACTCTGTGATACTGCGCTGGTCAGGTTTATATCCTGCTGCTGAGAGGAGTGGTTTTATCGTCTGGTTAAAATGACTTCCTTCTTTGAGAATCTCTCTCTTGCTGGCAAGCCAAGGAGAGGAGTTAAAGCAAAGGTGCTTTCACCAGTGACCTCACCTGATAACCTCGGAGAATCTCAGACTTCCATGAACACAGTAACGTTGTGCTTGTCTGGCTAAGGGAAGATCCAGCTGTCCCTTGCCAGAAGCAGAGCGTTATTGGTCATCTCCCTCCTCCCCCCTGCCAAAAAATCTCACACGCTGCTTTCTCCTTCAGAAGTGACTACCTTACGAGAACACGTTGTGGCAAGAGTCGAGGGCCTGTCTTATCTTAAAAAGCGTGCAGTTCCAGAAAAAACGTTTTCTCGGTGCTGCCTTTGCAGAGCTCTGACTGAGTTGTTTGATAGGCTGATCCCAAATACCAATAAGTGACAAAAATTTATGCACTACAGTGAGCTGGAACAGAGCTCTTAAATGCTGATAGATGATGTCTATGTCAAGAGGAATACAGAGTCAAGGCCGTGGAGTTATTAATACAGAGGAGGAGGCATTGTTTGCTCTGCTTTCTGATGTAGATAACTGGCAGGAAGGCGGGGAGGATCTAAAAGCACTGTAAAACAGGGGGGGGGGGACACACACCAAACTGGGTGGCAAAAGGATCGAGTAGTCCAGACCTTTGTACTGCAGCTTTACTACTGTTTGTGTCTCCTGGCTTCCCTCCCGTGTGGAAATGTAGTGAGAGGGAAAGGATTTGCTTTCTAGCAGGGCCACTGGAGAATTGTGAGTGAATTCCATTGCCCCTCTCTTTCGTGACAGGCATGCCCTTTAACCAGCTGGGGACGTTGGCAGGGAGCAAATACTACAATGTGGAGGCTACCTATTGCTACTTACGCTGGTGAGTGTCTGTGAGGATCTTGGCTTTCTGGAGAGAGAACCAGTGCACTGCGGTTGCTGGTGCCTGATTCTTTTCTCCTTGACTTTGGACTTGTGACTGTTTTCAGTGGATGAGTTTGAGGGGAGGGGGAAGAGAGATGGGTTTATTTCACCCTTGAGCAGGACTGATAATAAGAGCGAGCGTTGGTCAAACCAAACCGTCACGCTGGTTGCTAAAATACACGTGCGGGGCTGCAGTTGGAGGGCAAGGTTTCATCAGAGACCCTCAGCCTGTGCTAGAGGGGCAGGTTTGAAGGGGAGCCGAGATGCTGGGTGGAATTCAGTTACCTGAACGTGGCCTTAAGGCACGAATTTGAAAAAGTGTGTAAACATCGCAGATGGAGCTGTGGTGCAGCTTGAAGTAGGCTTTGCAGATGTGAGTGGGAGTTAAGTAGCCCAGCATGTTCAAACAAAAGCACTGGGTACCTGTCTTCGTGCTTAGATGCCTGAATAACTTTCTAGTGAATTAAAGCCATAAAATGTGAGCAACCTCGTGGCAAAGTAACTTTTGATGTGTTCTATTTTGGTATCTCAGCATCCAGTCTGAAGTGTCCTTTGAAGGTGCCTATGGGAACCTGAAGCGGCTGTATGACAAAGCAGCCAAAATGTATCATCAGTTGAAGAAATGTGAAATCAGAAAGTTGTCTCCCAGCAAGAAACGGTAAGAGGGAAAAGAAAAGGAGAGGGGTGCAGGCTGGGGGTTTGCAATGCCACCGGTGTCACCCTCTGGGTTGAGGGTAATGTCTTTCTGGGAAGTGGGAACTGGTAGATGGCCCGTCAGAGGCAGCGACTGTTCCCAGAATTTTGAGGGCCCCAGTCTAGATCCCATTCTTGATCTCTCGGGTCATAATTTCGGGAGAAAAGCTAAATGCTGGCTAGGTGTAGAGTTTGAGGTGAGAGATTTTCTCACTCTCCCCAGGAGCTGGTGACTGTTCATGAGGGTTGATGCATATTGGTGACAGTTAGAAGTGTGTAAGCTGTCTTTTTTTCTCCAGTTTCATCAGAATGTAGTTTTCAATTGAGACCTGATTTACCTATTAATAGAGCTCTGTTAGTTTAGTCCATCTCTGTGACGGGGTACCTGCTTTACAGTGTTTTCTTCTCAATCTTTTTAGAGGCAAAGACATTAAAAGGTTGCTGGTGAGCTTTATGTACCTGCAGAGTCTTTTGCAGCCAAAGAGCAGGTAAGGTTACGGCAGATTATATCTTCTATTGATAACTCACAGGAGCGGGCATTCAGAGTTGGAAAAGACTCTTCCCTGTAGGATAACAGTGCCTGTGCTGAGGCTTTCTGCCAACAGGTCCAAGACTTCTAACCTCGCAGGGAGAGTGAAGAAGATTGTCTTCCGAGGGAGGCTGAAATACCAAAGGGTTAAATACCTTGCGACTCTGGCTAAATCAAGCCAGTAGCTGAGTGAATGTCGAACTCCTGAGCCTCGCAGCTCATCTCTGTGCTCTACTGTGCCTTTGGTGTTTTCTTGCCTTCTTCAGTCATTGAATGCTTTTTCCTGGCAAGCACTGAATTTAGGCTGATAGGGCAGCAAAGAGTCACCGTCTGTGTGCAGGGCTGTTCATTGCATTTGGAAATCTGTAACCAAATACCTTGTTCAAAGAAAAAAAATAGCATAACCTGTTCATGTTAGAATAAATGGAAAGCTTTGTACAGCTGTGTGATTTTTTTTTTTTTTTTTTTCCCCTTGGATTTTCTCTGTCTCTGCTGGGAGAATTAACCTCTTACTGCTTGAAATAGAGCAGGTGTTTTAAAGGGCTTATACACAGGCTACCGTTAAACTCAGCATGGAATAGTTTAGGTTGGAAGGGACCTTTTAGGGGTCCAGTCCTCCCCCCAAGTAGGGTCCACTGTGAAGGTAGATTCCAGTCTGAAGTCAGATGAGGTTGCTCAGAGCCTCATCCAGCTGAGTTTTGAATGGATCCAAGGACAGAGATTCCACACCTCTCTGGTCTCCCTTCCAGTGTTTGACCACCTTCACTGTGGAATTTTTTTTTTTAACTTGTATCTAGCCTCATTTTCCTTTTCTGCAGCTTGTCCCCATCGCTTCCCTTCTTTTTGCTGTGCACCGCTGAGAAGAGTCTTACTCAGTCCTCTATATCCACCTATTTGGCATCTGAAAACAGAAGAGCCTTCTCTCTTTCAGGCTGAACAAACTTGATTCTCTTTGCCTCTTCTCATACATCATGTTCTCTACTCCCCTTGACAGTCCTCTGCTAGACTAAGTCTAGTTTGTCAGGGTCTTTTTGTTTGGTTGGGTTTTTTTGTACTGGGGACCCCAAGGCTGGGTGCAGTGCTCCAGATGCCATCTCACAAGTGCCAAATAGAGAGGGATAATCATTTTCCTCAACCTGCTGGCTGTGCCCTTGCTAATGCAGCCCAGTATGGGATTAGCTTTCAAATATTGGCTTATACCGGAGTGGAACTTCAAGGCTCATTTAATATCCACTTAACACACATTTAGTACCTAAGAAAATTGGAAATTACTTCAATTTCCCAAGCACGTTGCCCCCTGAAAAGGATTTGCTAGGTGTCTTGCAGATGGGTTTATTTCGTAACTGGAGACTCCCGTAGCCCATTATACTGAATACCGGGGCTGCTTCCTTTGAAGTAGCTAATAGCTACAGAGGATTTTGGAATATTCTTACAGGGCTGCAAGTCAGAGCCACGGGAGGAGGAAAAGTTGAGTCCCCAGTTTGCGCGCTGCAGTGTAATCCTTTAACTGAGCAGTGGAGCCGAAACTTCTGCTGCCTTTAGCGTTGAAGTGCCCTGTGTATCTTAATGGCTACTGCCTGAGCCCCCAGGGAAAATGTCCTGTATTTTTTGGTGACCCATCTCTTTGCAGGGAGGTGCTCTAATTATCGTTTGTCTTTAGTTTAGCAGCTTTGGAGAGGAAAACATAATCTGATTCATCTCACTTGCTTCTCCTAGCTGTTTGTTGCCTGCAGTATATTCCCTGGTGCTTCATCTTGTCTAGTGCTAAAGGACAGCCTAACTGCCAGTTTTGGTTCGGTTTCCCTGCAGACATTGCCAGGAGCTTGAGCTGAGTCTTGAATAATAATTCTTGTTTATTTTTTTGCTCTTGTTAAGCTCTCTGGATTCTGAGCTGACATCTCTCTGCCAGTCTGTGCTGGAGGATTTCAACCTGTGCTTGTTCTACCTGCCCTCTCCTCCTAATCTGAGCTCAACTAGTGAAGATGAAGAAGAGTATGAGAGTGGCTACTCCTTCCTTCCTGATCTCCTGATCTTTCGCATGGTGATCATCTGCCTTATGAGTGTTCACAGCCTCAAGAGAGCAGGTAACCAGTGCTTTATTCAGCCATTCAGCAATTTAGTGATTAACATTCAGTTAGGCTGAAGATGTTGTCTTAATTGGCATTCATGTTTTGGACTAGTGGTCAGTCTCCTCCCCCTCATTACGCTGTCTTCTTGCAGGTTCAAAGCAGTACAGCGCAGCTATCGCTTTCACGCTGGCCCTCTTCTCTCACCTGATCAACCACGTCAATATTCGCCTGCAGGCAGAGCTAGAAGAAGGGGAAAATCCAGTCCCAGCCTTTCAGAGTGATGGCACAGGTAAGAGAACAGAGACAGTATAAGCTGGGTCTCCCCAGTTGCCTGCCTGTAGGGCTGGCTTTTACTTTTCTTTCCCAAATCTCCTGGGCATGGGTTTTGTAGTGTAGTGCCTGAGTGGTGTTAGAGGCATCTTGATCTTTGACTGCTGGGCTGAAATCCCCAAAGATGGGTAATCTGCTGAGACAGTCTCCGCTTAGACTCTCTCTGTGAGTATCAGAATCATCACAGGATGAAAATGTTGCTTTCCTTGCGGTAAGGAGTTATCTTTCTGTATCTCTTGACAGCTCATTCATCATCTGTTTACCCCAGTCTGTGCTCTTATTTTCTGTGTTTCTATTTGCTGTTATTTACTGGACTCTCTTCTCCTCCACTGAGGAGATGATCTCAGGCGAAACACCTGGGCAGAGCAGTGTCTAAGGGAGGCAGGCCCTGCTCAGCAGCACCTCACCTCTGTTCAGACAAAACCAAATCTTTAGTTTCTGGGGGATCCTGCTGAGCAAAGAATAAAACTGCTGAATCTTTCCCCTGCAAACACTCGATTTGTAATATTTCACAGAATGCAAGACTAGAGTTTTCTTGGTCAAAGCCAACAATGAATGACTCCTCTCCTGCGTGGGTTTTGAAGCTACCAGGGTGACACAGGGCTGCTGGAAAAGCTGTCAGCACGTTGGTCAAGGAAGGGATTACGTCAACTCTGGTTACAGGGCGGAGTGGCTGGTTAAATCAAGCTGACTGGCACATGCCCTTGCCCTGCTTGGTGGGTCACTTGGCTCTCGGACTGTAGAAAGCTGGGAAAAAGATTTAAGATTCAACTGTGTATTTTATGCTGGTCTGGCAGCGTTCAGCCTGCCTGATAACGGAGCAGCACAGCTTGGGCAGTAGGAATCCAGGCTTCCCAAGTCTTTCTGGGCGCCTTTTAGAAAGTGAGTCATTCTTCTTGGGTTGCCATTACTTGTTCTCTGGTTAAAGACGCTAATAGAAGCGATGGATGAAATTTGCACTACTGGTTCGCCAGGCTCAGGGCTGGCAAGCAGCTTGTGTGACACATCGGGACTTTCTTAACTTGTGGTCTCATTTTAAATGCCTGCAGATGACCAGGAGCCACGGGAGCCATTGAACTCGATTGAGAAGGAAGCTGAAGCTGACTTGGCCAATCACCAGCCCAGCGAGGAACAACGGAAGAATGACTGCAAGAAAAGCAAGAAATACTCCCGCCTCTCCTGTTTGCGTCGCCGCCGCCACCCCCAGAAGGTGGATGAGAGTGACCTGAGCGAGGGCTTTGACTCTGACTCCAGCCAGGGCTCCGCAAAGGTCAGTGATGGCTCAGAAAGTGGCTCAGAGAAGAGTGACGAGGAAGCAGAAGCTGCTTTCGATGTGGAGACGGACTCTGACATGAACAGCCAAGAATCTCGGTCCGACTTGGAGGACATGGAGGATGAGCCGGGTGAGGAGGGAAGTGGCCGAGGCAAAAGCGGGCCCAAAGAGGCCTTAAAAAACTGTGTGGATGGCAGTGGGCTGGGGGACTCCAAGAGCCCAAGCATCTCTAAAATTGAGGCTCCGGATCCAGCAGTCAACGGGCCAGCTTCCCTGAGCACTAATGACGCAAGCATAGCCAGTAATCTCCAGGCCATGTCCACCCAGCTCTTTCAGACCAAACGCTGCTTTCGTTTGGCTCCCACTTTCAGCAACATCCTTCTGAAACCGAACAGTGAACCACCCGTCTTGAAGGATGGCATAGAAAGCAAGCCATGTGTCAACGGAGATCTGGAGAAGCCCAGCTTGGCAGAGCAAGGTAAGGATCAGCGACCTTGGTCAAAATATTTGTTGTTGCAGTTCTGTGTAGAAAACTGCAAGCTGTAGCAGCCTGTTTGCTAAAACCCACCCCTTCTCATGGGGCAAGTTCTCCTTCAGCCAGGTTTGGAGGAGCAGGTTGCCCAAGTACTGGGCAGGTCTCGGGCTGGGTGTTTCCTGAAGGAGGAGGTTTACTCTTGCTGCCTGACATCCAGGAATATGTGCGCTGAGCAGAGGAAACACCTGCAGCCAGCCAGGGTTATCTGTTGTTCTGCTCAACAGGCGAAATGCTGAGCAGCTCTGATAGTACAGAGGATAATTCCAGCAGGTATTAAAAATTTGGATTATCTTCCTTTTTCCCACGTGAAATCTCTGTAATCAGACACTTACTAGCGCTTCTGGTGAGGGACAGTGCAGATGTGGTCCAGGCAGTTCTCCACGAGATGTCGGATTATCAACTCTGCAAAGCTCTTGTAGGAGCCTGTCTGTAAGATGTGACCTAGGCGCATGCGAGAGGAGCCGAGCGCCTCGCTCTGTGACCCTCTGAACGCGGCCTCGCTGCATGCTCAGGGCTGAAGCAAACTGCAGATGCACAGCAGGTGGAGCTGCGATGTCTCTATTACCATGCAACTTACACCACTGAGTAATGTTCTGGGAAAAAAACAGCTTGAAAGGGAGATCTGATGCACTATAGGGAGTTGTTTGTATTTCAGCTAAAACCACATGGGCCTGTTTGGTCTTGTTTGTCATTCCTCCCAGCTTCCCTGGAGCAAGGAAACATTTTTGCATCGTGCTGCCAAATCCAATGGGCCTGCAGCACTGGCAAGATTCAGGCTTTGCCTGGGCCAGGATTTGAAGGGGGAATATTAGATCATGTTAATGTTTACTGGCTCCCGGCATTGCTTCATAGCCACTTGAAAGAGATGGGGGTAAAGGAAGAAACAAACGATTTTTGGTCTGTTTAACATTTTCCTTCAATGGGTTACGCAGATGTTGCAGCTCTAGGAACGTATTTGAATAGTGTGGCCGCATACTTTTATAGATGTGGAAAATGAGAGGTTGAATGAGCCAGGTTGAATGAATTAACCCGTGTGCTTTTTAGCTTGGAGCTCTCCTTGCCTCAGCCATGCTGTTTCAAAACTCGAGCTATTTAATGGTCTTAATGCACTTATCAGGGATGGTTTCTGGATAAATTACTTCCTCCCTCTTGATTCTGAGGGTTTATTGAATGATAATTGCTGTGCTAATATGCAGAAATGACTGTGGAATTAAAATGAGGGACTGTAGCAAAATATGTCCTCGATTCCCAGCTTGCTGCTCCCTTGACCTCAGGTCACTCGTGTAGCGAGCATGCAGTTTCATCGGCAGTGGCTTTGAGATCCTCAGGTCTGTAGAATGACAAGATTGCAAAGCATATTCAGTATTTAAAATCACCTGGGCCCTGGCTCATAAAATAGCCCTACCATTTTCTTCTCTTGCCTTAGCCTGAAGATTGGTGCACGTTGTCCTAAACAGCGATGGCTGGCTCTGTTCTCTGCAGTAAATGATACGGTCCTTGTGCCGGCACACGCTGCTTGCCCCTGCTCTGTTAGTGAGCGTCTCGGAGGCTGCTCCAGGGGTTAAGGCATTTGTCAGACTTTCACAGGGAGATTTTAGCAATCTTCTCCCAACAAAGAAGAAAATACAACAGCGATACACTTCCCAGCATCACAGGGGACAGGGAACTGGTTTTGTGAGGATGTGTGGAGGCGCTGAGAAGTTCAACTCAACTCTTACCAACCCAGCGCTGTTCTCATACCAGTCGGGCCTGACTTCTCAAGGGGTTTAATGCCTGCCATCCTGCTTTTCCCTTCATTTTCCAGACGATGTGTCCGACTCTGAGGAAAGCATTTCAAGTAATAAATCCTGCAGGAATGAGCGATCCCTTCAGGAGAGGCTAGAGATTGTGACCAACGAAGGGCTGCTTCTCACTGTCAAGGTGTTCCTGGACTGGCTGAGGACAAACACGGACCTCATCATCATGTGTGCTCAGGTGGGAACCGGGCTCGGTGTTGGGTCCAAGGCTGCGTCTGTTCACCTCCCCTGGGCTGGGATGCTAAGGGTATATTGAAGCTACTGTCCCAGTTCTGGACAGAAGGTGATGTTAAATACCCCACCAGCTGAATTAAGATAATCTTGACCTAAGAATTGTAGAGAAGTTCACTCTTCAGAAAGCATTCTGAAGTCTGTGAAAGGCGCTGGAAAGCCCGAGCGGCCTGGTTATTGCATGCATCTGTCTTGACGTTTTCTGTGGCCTTTTGTGTTCTGTTCCTGCAGAGCTCTCAGAGCCTGTGGAACAGGCTGTCTGTGCTCCTGAACCTTCTGCCTTCTGCTGCAGACCTGCAGGAATCAGGTACTGGAGAAGGAAGCGGCAATGTGATGTTTCAGCAAGCCTAGTTGTCAGTCATTTCCATGGTGTGTGATAGATCCCGGGGTGTGAGATTTGCCAGTAGCAAATAAAAAAAATAAGCAGTTTGCTTATAAGCGCAATGGGAAGCGACATTATGCATGTGTTGGTTTTGTGTTTAAACACCATTCCACTTAAATACTGTCCCGTAGACGTTGGCTCTATGGCTGATAGTATACTGAAACACTCGCACTTGTGTGCGTGAAGTCCTTGTGTGGCCAACACGATTGGAATTAACTGTCGAGACCATAAGTAAAGGTATGATTTTGTCATGGCAATCGTGGAAACTAGTTACGAAGCTCCAAATGCTCGTGATGTGCCCTGGACCTCAGCCTAAAGATCCCCACGGTTCATGAGAAGCATAGTTTAAACAGGGACGCTTGTCTGTTGGAACGAATGGGAAAGCTAACCCTCCAAACGACGGTTTTTCTGGAGTGGTGTGCCTCAGCAGGTTGTTTGGGACAATTACTTTTTATATTGTGGATGGCCTTTTTGTTCCTCTTTCAATGCATGCTGTGACAGTACCCGTGTAATTTAAAACCTCTGCCCTTGATATTACAGATCGTGGGCCTTAAAGCAGTTCTCCTCTTTAAGTCACCATATATTGCTGTGCTTCCCCTCCGTCCTCTCCAGGGCTGGCCCTATGTAATGAAGTCAAGGATGTTCTGAGTGGCGCAGAGCTCCCAGACCTGAAAGCCAACTTGCTGCTCCCAGAAGATGTGGCCCTGCGAAATCTTCCCCCTCTGAAGAACGCACACAAGAGGTTTAACTTCGAGCAGGACCGGCCTATTTTCTCAGCAATTGAGGAGGTGAGTCAGGGTAAATCCTGAATCCTGGCCCGAGCTGCGTTTCCCTTTCTGGAGGTGCAGCCTGTCTTAGCTGTGCAGATGAAGATCTAGTTCTTCCTTGCCAAAAAAGACCCCAAACTGATTCAAACTTTTGAAGTCTGAGATGGGTTCATGTTATTGGTGGTTGCTGCAGTCATCTGTCTATCCAAAAATCAGTGTTCAAAAAATTGCCTTGCCTTTCCTTCCCCATCGGAGTCATTATGAAAGGAAGCGCAGTCACACGTTGACAGCTTTGCTGCATGAAGTCTCCTGACCTCCCTGCCTTGAATGAAAGGAATTTGGTTGGAGCTGCAGGATGCTTCCTGCGATCCTTCTCTAGTAAATGCAAAAGGCAGTGAAATCTCACTTCACGCGGCACTCTGTGCCCTCGCAGAGCACTTCTGTCTCTTTTCCCAAGCACAAAGGGCCGAGGTGATCATTTCTGGGTAGCGGAGGTGTGCAGAAAAAGGCAATTGTTCTCCCCTCTTGCCTCGCAAGACCAATCTGATTCCTTTGGTGTGGGGAATACATTAACATCATCTGCCTCGATTTGAGGGCACTGTTCTGATGTGGGACCAGTGTTTGTTAAATCACAGTCCAGCCGGCTGAGGTCTTGAATGTCACCTCAAGCTGCCGGGGCAGCTGGAGCAAAGCGCAGCGATCTCGCATCCCACGTGAGCTCCCCTTTTGCTGCCTTTGCTCAGCGGCCCAGCCAAGAGGAGTGCCTGCCCCAAAATCAGGTATAGGTTGTTGTTTTATTTGATTCCTTTGCCCAGCACTGAGGGCTTGAGCAGAGATTTATGGGGGAGAGCCTGTTGATGTTTTCTGAGGTTTTCTTGAGTTGGGGAAGCCCAGACTGTGAGCGCTTCTAAGCTTTCTGGTCAGCTGTAGGCTTTCCTGCAGCCTCTGTCTTCAGAAACACATTTCCATCAGAAATGTTTCCTTTGAATTTTTTTTAGTTAGCAGTTTGTGCCTTTTCCAAAAGCGTGAGCTGCAGGGTCGGAGCTGGCTCAGGCTACAACTCCCATGGGGATGCGTGGCTGGTGATTACCTGTCTGCTTCTTTGCAGTCTGTTGTTCGGATTTGCTGCATTCGGAGCTTTGGCCACTTCATTACCCACTTGCAAGGCAGCATCCTGCAGTTCAACTCAGAGCTTGGGATCTTCATCAGCATAGCACAGTCGGAGCAAGACAACTTGTTGCACCAGGCTCAAGCCCAGTTTCATATGGTGAGTTGGCGGAGGTGGGCTTAATTCTCTGTACTTGGCACAATTTCCTGTAGATTGCTATTAAATTGTAACTATAATCACAGATCTTCGGTGGGAGATGGAAGTTTTGCTCCATAAAGCTACTCAGGTGTCCCCTTTTCACCCTGTTTCTGGAAGCGTGTGCTACTGTCGGCATGTGTTTCCTGCTAACTGATACGGAAGTTTGTTTTTGTAAATAGGCTGCAGAGGAAGCTCGTCGGAACAGGCTAATGAGAGATATGGCTCAGCTTCGACTGCAGGTAGGAGATGCTGGTTCCAGCCTGAAAACTGGCAGGGTAGTGGCTGAAATGTCTGAAACTAGGAAGGGAAGGGGGAGCTCTCTGCTCCCATCCCACACAGAGGCAGTAAGTCTGTTCTGCAAAGACAACCGTAGAATATCTGGAGTTGGAAGGGACCCATAACGATCATCGAGTCCAACTCCCTGCTCCTCGCAGGGCTACCTAAAACTAAACCGTATGCCTAAGAGCGTCGTCCGGACGCTCCTTGAACTCTGACAGCCTTGGTGCTGTAACCACTTCCCTGGGGAGCCTCTCCAGCCACCGACCACCCTTTTCCTGATGTCCAATCTGAGCTTCCTCTGACACAGCTTCACTCCATTTCCTCGTGTCCCATCGCTGGTCACCAGAGAGAGGAGATCAGCGCCTCCTCCTCCGCTGCCCTCCTTGAGGAAGTTATAGGCTGCGATGAGGTCACGCCTCAGCGATGAGGTCACGCCTCAGCCTTCTCTTCCCCAGGCTGAACAAGCCAAGTGACCTCAGCCGCTCCTCATAAGTCCTGTCCTCGCCCTCCTCTGGACACACTCTAACAGTTTGGCGTCCTTCTTACATTGAGGTGCCCAAAACTGCACGCGGTACCCGAGGTGGGGCTGCACCAGGGCAGTGCAGAGCGGGACAATCACCTCCCTCTGTCCCCCAGGCTGTGTCCAGCCCTCTGCTCCATGTGCTGGAAGGTTGGAAGGGCCCGGTGGAGCTTTGCAGGGCGAGTCTTGCCCTGTTTAATCTTGGTTTCAGCATAAGTGTGAAGCAAGTGTCTCTGCATGTGTGTTTTTTTTTCAGCTGGAGGTTTCTCAGCTGGAGGGAAGTCTCCAGCAGCCCAAAGCGCAGTCAGCCATGTCTCCTTATCTTGTCCCGGACACCCAGGCCCTCTGCCAGCACCTGGCTGTTGTCAAGCAGCTGGCCACCAGCGGGAGGTTCATAATCATCATCCCTCGAACAGGTACGGGGACTCCACGTCAAATAACCGAGCCTGCCTTCCCCTCATCCCCTCCTTGCTGGGCAACAAGCCCTGTGGGCCAAGGTGGTGGCTTTCTCTCCTGCTCCTGTTGTCCTTTACTTCGGCTGGAGCAGCTGAAACACCGTTGCCATGTGTCACTTTTGGGGCCTGTTTTATGTGTGGCCCGTGTTTGGACTCTAACATAGTGTGTTGAAGAACAGCTGGAAAGAGAGAGGCCCTGTTCACCTCCCGCTTCGTCTGCCTCCTGTGGCAGGCACTGCTGCTGTGCCACCG